CATGTTAAGTGAGAGCACAGCAGCGTCTGAAAGCCATGAGGCTGAAATAGTGGCACCTGTTTCTTTCTGACGGACAGTGTGAGATGTTGACACATGGAGCCATATGCTACATAAACCGTTCTTTAGTACTCTGAACAACTGCTTAACAATATATGTGTATTTTGTAACAAATATTTATTCATATCTATATATATATATATATAACTATTAATTTCTTTGTGTAAAATTTATTTTTAAATTAAATAAAAAAAATTTAACTATAAACAATACTGAGAAAACAACTGAAATTAATCAGCTGATAAAAATTTTTTTTAATCATACAACACTTCCTGTTATCAAATAAAGCATTTGGTACTTGAATGACACTGGGTTTAAAAATGGCACCTTAATTATCAGTAAGCAACATACTTAGACTCACTGATAAACAAACAGCTGCACATTACACAGTTAACATGACCACTGCAACACTGCAGTCAAGGGATTTCCACAGAGACCCAATTATCAAGCTGACATTAATGGTCAAGATATTTTAAGTCATTTAAAGTTAAAATATTTTAGTAGTAGATATATTCTTTGAAGCAAACTAAGTCAATATAGCAAATCTATATGATTACAGAACTTATCTGTAAGAGCAACAGATGGCCTTTCATTCTCGTCAGACTTGGTGTTACAGTGGCAGACCAAGAAAGAAATGTAATACCAAAAGTATAACTTGACTAAAGGACGCTCATATAAACTCCTGTAGATGGTTATAAAGCTCACAAAAATCTCAGCACGTTCCTGTATAACAGATTAGACTGAAGATAGCGTCTGGTTATCATCATAGATCTGGAGTAGGGATGTAACGGTATGAAATTTTCATATCACGATTATAGTGACCAAAGTTATCACGATTATCAATATTATCACGGTTTTGTTAAAATTAGATGAAAACGTTCAAAAAGAACTGATACACACACTGAAAACATTTCAATAACTTTTATATTTGAAAATCAACAAACAACAAATACAACTAGCAGCTATATGCACTTTTTTTTTAGCAAAAATATTAAATTAACATTAACATGAAGCCCTAATAATAATAATAATAAATCACTTATATATATATAATATATATATACACACACACACACACACACACAATGTGATTTCCGTTAATGATCATGTGATCTTCGGTTAGGAGATCTTGTGATGCTTTTTAAAGCAAAGTTGGGGTTGATTTCGAGTTCTCATACAAACATAAATAGAACAGGCTAATTAAATTTTTCAATTTTAATGTAAGAGAACATATTTTTCGTTAGTGATAGAAATATGATTTAAGACGGTAGTGTAAGCAAGTTTAGTTTGAAAACGTTTAATAGTAAATAAGACACAATTAGACAATATTTGAATAAAATAATAATAATAAATAAATATTTATTTGCCACAACTGATGGGAGTACTGAATGCTGCACGCAGGCGCAGCGTTGTCAAGGTAACATTTGGTCAGTCATTCCCTTCACCGAGGGAGTTCCAAACGCTTATACGAGACAGTAATGCCCTGCACCCTTCAAAGAGCACACGGGAGTAGGGCATAGGGATGCTCACTTCTGTTTGGAAGTCGCCGCATGTCTCTTGTATCACCTCAGAGGCGCGGACGCGCTCTCTCGTTTCATTCAAATGCAGCTTGCCATCTTGCGCCTCAGTTTTTGATTGTATTGAAAATGAAATCAGAGGAATTTAGTATTAATACTACTATAATTTTGCTGTAGTGATCATATTGTCCTGACGATTGTTTTGTACACTGTTCATAATGGATTTATAAGATTTCAAAACATTAATCTCAATTCAATATTTCATATCCCCGTATTTATATATTATTTTAGGTAAACAAAAAAAAATATACAATACATTATCCCTTAAATGTCAACCTGATAGTTTGAACGTTCGTTCGTCTTGGCTCAAAGCCACTTGCTGAGAACTTTTCTTCGCGGAAGCTTTGCGTTAAACAAGTGAGATAACAAAATATTTAATCTCTAATCAATATTTTTTGTCCAATTATTTGCCCAGTTAGTTTTGATACTGAGGTAAAAGTTACCTTGCATTCGCTACATAACAGTGGGTGGTGGTCACGAAGATGACGGAGCAAATTTGATACGTTCTGCGTCAGATGGATGTTGGCTGGACAGGATTTACCACGAGTTTTCAAAATTGCGATAATCAAACACGGTTTTGATGACAATTAAATTTTAAACGGTAATACTAACCGTCAGGGCATTTTATCGTGATTTATCGTAAAACCGGTAATCGTTACATCCCTAATCTGGAGACACAGGTTTTCCCACATGCATGGAAAAACCATAAACAATAAGCAAGCCACAAGAAGCACATAATTAATATATCTAATTTGTTAACAGATAAAACAGATTTATAGGCTGACATGAGAAGAGGCAATTTTAAAATAGGTTAATCTGCAAATAAAATGTTAAGGGCATTATTATAAGAGGTCATGCGTTGTGTTTGATCCTCTGGTTTCTGGACCGACATATTAATTTGGTGTGACATGGAACAGCATGATGGTCTTTTTTCCATTCCATCTGCCTGTAAGGAAAACCAGTCAGACTGCTGAGTGCTCTGTTTTTATAAAAAGACCAACACTATCTGCTTTCTGTCCCATCCATTTTCACAGCACACACGATGGTTTGCATAGTGCAGCACCGAGTGTCTTGTTTAATGCATTCACAACCTTGGCAGAATACAAACTTCTTGGGAGAGAATCCTTGCAATGTGAACCTGTTATCAATACCATGCATAGTGACAGGGGGCGTAAAGCGGCCTGCTATCACTGCTCTCTAGCATAACACAACCACTGGTGTGGTGCCAATTTCCCCATTTGTCCATAAAAGTCTTCTCTTGACAAATCTAAATATTATGCTATATAATTATGTAAGTGTAAACATAGAAGCATTTAACCCTACTTAGGGAATCTAAAAAGAAAAACATGGCACACACACATATACATACACACAGTACATACATACATTCATATTTCATGATTTTTGTTATACATATATATCATATCTAACAGTTTTGCAGTACATGTTAAGTGAGAGCACAGCAGCGTCTGAAAGCCATGAGGCTGAAATAGTGGCACCTGTTTCTTTCTGACGGACAGTGTGAGATGTTGACACATGGAGCCATATGCTACATAAACCGTTCTTTAGTACTCTGAACAACTGCTTAACAATATATGTGTATTTTGTAACAAATATTTATTCATATCTATATATATATATATATAACTATTAATTTCTTTGTGTAAAATTTATTTTTAAATTAAATAAAAAAAATTTAACTATAAACAATACTGAGAAAACAACTGAAATTAATCAGCTGATAAAAATTTTTTTTAATCATACAACACTTCCTGTTATCAAATAAAGCATTTGGTACTTGAATGACACTGGGTTTAAAAATGGCACCTTAATTATCAGTAAGCAACATACTTAGACTCACTGATAAACAAACAGCTGCACATTACACAGTTAACATGACCACTGCAACACTGCAGTCAAGGGATTTCCACAGAGACCCAATTATCAAGCTGACATTAATGGTCAAGATATTTTAAGTCATTTAAAGTTAAAATATTTTAGTAGTAGATATATTCTTTGAAGCAAACTAAGTCAATATAGCAAATCTATATGATTACAGAACTTATCTGTAAGAGCAACAGATGGCCTTTCATTCTCGTCAGACTTGGTGTTACAGTGGCAGACCAAGAAAGAAATGTAATACCAAAAGTATAACTTGACTAAAGGACGCTCATATAAACTCCTCTAGATGGTTATAAAGCTCACAAAAATCTCAGCACGTTCCTGTATAACAGATTAGACTGAAGATAGCGTCTGGTTATCATCATAGATCTGGAGACACAGGTTTTCCCACATGCATGGAAAACCATAAACAATAAGCAAGCCACAAGAAGCACGTGATTAATATATGTGCTTGGTCAATTAAAAAAATTAAAAAATGTTGCAATTACTTTGCAAATACTCCAGAAAGAGCTATTTCTAGCCAGTTAAATATTTTAGACAATATTAGAAAACTCACATTAACAGTAGTATATGCGTGTACTATATGTGTGTAAACAGTAACAAAAGTATATGTGTGTGTTTAGTCAATAAAAAACTTTCTAGCAATTGACAAAAAAAAAAGTAGCTATTTTTAAAGCAAAGTTGTAGACATCGTGTCTGAAGAATCAGCGAGCTGCAGGATTGTGTACATTTATAACACATGGGCACATGAGACAACTGTGAAAATCAAGTAGCTGGAGGTTAATGTTCTGTAAAATCAACTATTATTTTAATTATTAACACTTGCAACATCTGCTTTGAATGTAATACTCAAATAAATACCACACCTTCGGGCGTCATAGACTTCAAAGGAGTCCTGCGCCTGTGTTTACATCCTATGCAAAACACCCCGGATATTCCGACTCTAACTGATGTGCTAAATGCCAGATGTCATTTAAGATTGCAAGGCTAACGTACACTGCGCTGGCCTACGCTCAGAAATCACGCTGGCTTTAATATCACATAATTCAGTCAAGGTGACATTTGCAAACACCCTAACGTTACATGGTAACGTTACACTGCTAGCGAAGCTAAACAAGTGGGCTGCATAATAATCGACGTCGCTCGCGTGCAGGCAGCGTAGTTGATAATAATGGCAGCGCGTAGATGCGAGCTATAATGTCCATTTCCGCGTTGATAATACAGCAGCTAACCGCTTACTAAGAAATGGCCTGCAAACAAGTCCTGTAATCACATACTGCAAGAGCGTTCACAGCACTTAACATGCATTCAGCACGTTACTCCACAGGCTACTCTCTGATCAGACATGAATATTTCCGTACAAACAAGCTTGTTGATGATGTACACAGCGCATCACAACTAACGTTACACAGCACACCGGGGATATATTCACATATTCAAACACTACAGCTCACATAAACCAACCTGACATCTGCAGACCATGTCAGCGTCCTGGGCCAGCAGGTCCACCACCTTTCCTTTCCCTTCATCGCCCCACTGTGCTCCGAGCACCACGGTCACTTTGTTGCCCACACTCGGGCATGTCACCCGGCTCGATCCTCCGTCCTGCGACTGTGCGTTCCCGCTGTCTGACATGACCGTGTCCCCTCTGCTCTCCCTGCAGCTCCGCAATGCTCCTCCGACACACGCTCACCTGAGCAGACTCCGAGGGCGGAGCCTCCTCGCTCGCTCGCTCGCGCTCACGCTCACACACACACACACACACACACACCACTCCATATAACTTACGGCGCTCCACTCACATACACACAGTAGTCATTAAAGTACTCTGTGCTTTAAAAATATATTTTTATATAAATAGAACTGTTTACCTCATATTACAAACATATAGGCCTCTGTATAACATGTAACCAACTGTATTTATTTATTTATAATTTGTTTGTTTAAACGTAAACTTCCAACCGTCGACTGTGCAGTTATTGTTATTGTGCAATAGGAAACAGCGACGCCCGACGCCTTAAGCGAGTACTACAGCTAATCGCTTTGGTTCCCCTTTAGCTTTTGTAACCTTTTTAGTTACACCAAATAACGGGAAAACACAGTGGAACAAGATGTTGGGATTTGGGGTATTGTTAACATACATTTTATTTTTATATTTTCAAACTGTCGTCGGAATTTGGAGGTAAATTATTAACCAACTAAACTCCATTGATCTTTGGGCACTGTTAGTGTCACAAAGCTAAGCTATTGATATATAAATTAATTGTGATTGCTGTTACTGTTTGTTTATTATCAGATACAAGCAGATTTCTGAGGATAAAGAGTTATTCATCGTAGACAGTACTGTAAGTGAACATCATCTTTTACAAAAATCACTATTGTAACCACTACCACAAAAAAATACCACCGCTAAAATAGTGTCTTCAATTGCTTTAGACCGCTTTCGCCTTATAAGCTTTCTCGTCGATTTATTTCTGATGTTTTGTTTAATTTCTGTAACTATATTTTGGTGATTGCTATTGTAAGTAAGGGGTGATCTTGTTCATTGTGATTTTAAGGTTAGTCATCTGACGCCTAAGTGAACTGCTTTCTCACCACCAATATAAAAACATAAATAGGTTTTTTATCAAAATACGAGCACGTAGTTTTATTTACATAATAAACCACAAATATTATGTTTCATGCAGATTTTTTTAGAGTACGAAGGATCCTCTTTTTTGGAGTGGCAATATCCTGATGGTTGTGATGTTAATAATAAGAGGTAATCCACATATTTACTTAATAAGTATGATAATTTTCTAATGTATAGCTTTATTAATATGTATTTATGTCTAATCAATTCCATTTAAAAGTATTTATTTGACAAATTGATCCAATAAGGTCACCTCATGCGGTTATGTGGTGTAAATCCCCTGGATTTCAAGCTGTAAAGCCACTTGTTTCTGTAAGTACACACAAATATATTATGAGGTTTCACATATTCTTTTCATCAATTAGCATTTTCAAATATTTCATAATTTCATTGCAGGATGTGTCTACAGAAAAAGAAGAAGAGCGACACCTTTATATAAGTGACTCATTTTTCAGGCTTGCGTGGTATGCTGTTATTCCTTTGCTCAGGTTTTAACCAGCTCAACTTCTTTCAGCTTTTATTGCACTACAAAATGTCAAGAATTGCTTAAGTGAGAAAATACTTTGAATAGAAATATATATGCAAAAGTTTTTTTTCCCCCCATGTCCATCAGAAATTCACCTGAACATGACCCCCAGGTGAGAATTTTACTCTAATCAGAAACCTTTGCTAGATGCGAACCTGCGTCACATGCAGGTTGAATTGTTCCCTTGTTCAAAACCATGTGGTTTATAATGCTTTTTGGTGTGTACTGTAGACTGTCAAAATATGGATCATTGATCCGGACCGAGCAGATGAGGCTGAAATCAAAAACACAGCAATGATTCCCTCTGTAGTAAGTCTTCTTCTTCTTAAAAATCCTATGTAAAATGTTGGTTGTGTATTGATTATTGTAAGTGCCTGAGAATAAATATCTGTACCTTTCCAGTATTTCAGATATCTTACTAAGTGTTTAGTAATCGGTGGAGAGTTTGCAGTCATCGAGTTGTCTTCATTCCCTCAGACAAGCCAGAGTTATTTTACAAATCAGGGGTAATGCGGTTCACTTCTATTCAAAGTCAGGCTTTTTCCACGTTTTCTCACTTTTTAAATATATTTATTAATGTTCAATAAATATATTTACAATAATGATCTGTATAGCAAACTTTCACAATCATGATTTATTTCAGGTTTTGGGAGGCTCGCCTTCTTGGTGTCAATGAATATCATCATTTTCACATAACCAGTCAGTCAGTATCTTTTCATGGAAAATCTGTTGCTTCTAGTCAACATGTCTTCTACATGACATCCCCAGAGAAACCATATGGCGACAAAAATGTGTCCTTATGCCTGCCAACTGGTAGTCGAATGTCGATAGTATGGGATGCATGTACCCCTCACCGAGCCTTGCTCCTGTCTGACAAAGGCACATTCATAACGAAGAATGCTTTCCTCACTTATGAGGAGATAAAGGTTGATCCTGGAGAATTGCTAATGCCAGCTGAGGGTTATTACGTTGTTTCTGATGCCGTCTTGTTGGAGAATGGCTCGATTTTCCACATAGGAGATGCTCTTTTCTGGAGGGACAACGAGGAAGGAATATTGAGGAGGAATCCTATGAAACTGCTAGTTGAAGGGGTTAAAGGCCTGAGTTTTAGGACTCAATGTGCAGATTACTACCCCTTGCTAGTGAGTGTCTTCCATTTGTAAATATCAGTTGTTTCTTCTTAATATTAGGTTGCAAAAATTTTGATTTGTCTCTTGAATTTCACTTGCAGGGGTCTGAACTTGCCACAGTTCTTGCATGGACAGACCATGAACTTTATAAAGGTGGGAGAGCTCTGGATTGGAAGACTAATAGCAGCTACATGTCAAACATACTGAGTCTTCCCCAAACTACTACTATCCTTACTGCTGCATTTGGATCCCATCTAGCATCTTTGGGTGCACTGGTGATGGACACAGACTCTGTTCAACCCTCCCTGCTCATATGCTATGAGACTGAAGGCATCTGGAAAACCAGAACTTTACTGAGTACAAATGGTCTCCAAGGGCCATTTCAGATGCTCTTCATCAGCGCAGCCTTGGAAACTCTGCTGGTGTGGAACAAAGACACTATGCTTTATAGTTTTCACAATGATAGTGAATGGCGTTACCTGCGAATAATGGATTCCTCCAACATAAGCCAAGAAGCAAGTGGTAGCCACATTCACCACGTGGTCATGGGTGAGTGGAAGAAATCAGATTATCAGAAGTGCCAGCAGTTGTATTTCCTTCAAAATACATTTGAAATTCAAATAAGCTTGATTTGTATCTCTAATAAGAGTTTGATTTAAGATTAAAGCTAGTTTACATAAAATAAAATGATCTCATGTTCCACCCTTTGTGACTTTGCTCTACAGACCGCTCACGGAACATGCTGGTAAAGATGGAGAACAACGTGCTGTTCTTCTGTAAATTCGGCATGAATAAACTGTTTCGGCTCCCCACCTGGAATGACCCTGGACGTTCTGTAGTGCTCTACATAAACCAGAAAGAGCAGATCATTATGCTGACAATGTTAGATGGAGGTTTGCATGTACAGAAGTACCCTTTAAAGATGGAGATCAGGAGTGCCATGCGAGGGGAGGTCCACAGCTGTCCCTTTATTGGCTTCACACACAACATGAACAAGCCTGCCTACTACATCGACAAGGAAGAGGTCATTGAGTTTTGGGCCCAGGTAAGTTAGAGTAGACCTACGTATGTATGTACCCTGATGTATGTAGCTCATACATCACAAGAGAAGTTACCAAATGTGCTATGCCATGGTAGAACCAATTGGGGTTCCCCAAAGAAGTGAGCAGTTCATGAAAGAAACACTTTTTTTGTGTGAAGAACACACTCCAAACATAATCTGAAGAACCTTTTCCACTACAATGAACCTTCTGTGCAATGGAACGGTTTAATGGATGCTAAAGGTTCTTTGTGGAGCCATAGATGCCAACCAAATATTTGTATACTTGTGTATTTCCAGATAGTCTACCATGAAGGTAAAAACATGAATGTGACGCTAAGCAGGAACAAAGACCATGTGTTGCAGATCACAGAAAAGACCCATTTTGAGAGTGTGCGCTATCTGGATACAACAAACAAGGTCTGGACAAGAAGGGTCTTTTAGAAAAGCCAGTCTTCATTGAGCTGTGTTTAAATACTATTTAGATAGTCAGTTGTTTGTGATGCTTATATAAGCAAAGTTTTTTTTTTAATGCCTGTCTCTTTTCTTTTTCCAGACCTTTACCATTTATCAGGATCCAGACTACAGAGACACGACTAACAACTCTGATCTCATGTGAGTGTTTTTTTAATGGCACATCAATGAACGATTCTTGTACAGATAAATTTAACCATATTAGTTAAGACAACTAGTTCTTCCAGCTATTATAACATCCATCTTGTCCTAGAATTAAAGACATCCGAAACTCAAGTGATATAGTCACTATGGAACTGCTACCAACCCAGATTGATAATTCATGCAATCTGCCAAAAAATCAGGTAAGTTTTTTGGCTGCTGGGGGGTTACTGAAGATTTTCCTTTTTCTTATTTGTAGAAAAACATTTCCTGATAAGAAAGCAACTGTATATAGATACTATACCACTAAATAAGGCATACATTGTATACATGTTTGTAGATTTCCCATTTCTTTGTGGGCTGCCCGCCAAACAGACACATTCGTGTTATAAAGTAAGTGTCATCTGATTATCTAACAATATCGTTTAGAATGTTATCCTACAACCATCTACTGTAGCAGTTTAAACCTTTTGACCAGACTTATCGTGTTGTTCCTTGTAGACCACAGAGAATTCCATGTAAGATGCACGTTTTTGACAGCTATACCATTCCAGGGTAATATTCACTAAAACATGACACTTAACAATAGAATACATTGAATTTGATTAAGTCCTGCTTTATAATTTTCCCAATTTATCTTTTACAGATTTGTACTTGGTAATTCATCAAAGGATCTGGTGAGAATCCGTCCTGTGTATTTGTAGATAATGATGCTGTCATTTAATCAGCATCACTGAGATAAGTATGAGAAGCACAGTGTTGTTTTTGTCATTGAGTCATATAACAGATTTATATAACAAAAAAAACAAAACAAAGCAACTATATTGTGATGACCCGTGCTATAAAAAAATACATGTGAGGCAACTGGTGATAGTCATGAGTTCTCTAATGTCTCACAGACTGTGTTCTATGACTGGAAGAGCTTTGGCTGTGTGTTGAGAATCCACTACAAAGATGAATTTCAGCCAGACATTGAGCTGTGAGTAGGACACAAGCATAATGAGACTCTTAAGCACAAAAGTGAAATGAAACCTGAAACAATAAGCAATATGAGTCACACACTGTTTTACTGTTAGCACCGTACAGTAAAACAGTGTGTGACTCATATTGCTAATCATGAGGACTGCATATTTCTGTGAGGAAGTAGATTGTTATTGCAGTGCATTTTTTATCAAATTGATCAAATGTGCAATATATAATGTGTTCTGGTATTTTTATTTTCTGTAGGTATGATGGAGAGACATTTGTGCGCAGTGTTGATGCCAACTTCATAGTGTGGGAGAATTTTCATCGAAAAGACTATTACTTCAATATGACCATGCATGAGGTAATATGCGTCAGATGTGTGTGTGTTCGGCAGTATGCTATTGTAGAAACCCTAAATCTTTCTTTGGCTCTGTAGGCAGCCTGCCTTCATGAGGCCCAAACATGGACATCTATGCTAGTTGATGAGAAGCGTCCTGAAGAGGCCTGGGGACCTAATGTTGGTGTCGTTTACAGTTTTATCTCACTTTAGTTTTCATAACCTGGCTCTCTCTCTCAGGGATATGAGCAATTGTGTGGTTTATTAGCATTGAAATAAAAAGGGGTGTGTTTTATGTCTTTCAGAATTACAGGAGCTGTTTTGTTGACAACTCTGAAAAACTAGGAAACCTTGACCAACCCTATGAAATCATGAATAGGAGTTCCATGAATTATCTTACCTTTTCTCGAGAAAACAGTGCTATTTATGTTTTCAATGTAAAGATTGTGGACCCAAATTACAGGTGCCTGTCACTTTCTTTTTAAATAGCTCTTAAAGATTAATAGGTCATCTGTGTTAACTGAAAGGGATAGTTCACCCAAAAATGAAAATTCTGTCGTTAATTACTCACCCTCATGTCGTTCCAAACCCGTAAGACCTCCGTTCATCTTCGAAACACAAATTAAGATATTTTTGATGAATTCAGAGAGCTCTCTGACCCTCCATAGACAGCAATGTAATAGCCAAGATCAAGGTCCAGAAATGTAGCAAGGAGATCGTTAAAATAATCCATGTGACATCAGGGGTTCAACCGTAATTTTACGAAGCTACAAGATTACTTTTTGTGTACACAAAGAAAACAAAAATAATGATTTTATTCAACAATTTGTCTCCTCCGCATCACCCTAGCGCCATTTTGGAGAGTATCCACTGAACGTAAACAGTGTATGCTATTCTGTGTCAGCTGCGCCACACGGATACGTTTTCTACGTTGTTTACACTTTGATTTGAACGAAAACAACATATCTGTCATTCTGTTATTATTTACTCACCCTCAAGTTGTTCCAAAGCTGTATGGGTTTCTTTCTTCATAGAACTAAACATAGAACGTTGTTAACCAAACAGTTGACGGTAGCCATTGACTTCCATAGTAATTTTTTCCATACTATGGAAGTCAATGGCTACCGTAAACTGTTTGGTTACCAACATTCTTATTATGTTATCTTTTGTACTCAACAGAAGAAAGAAAGTCATATAGGTTTAGAACAACTCAAAGGTATGTAAATGATGACAGTTTTCATTATTAGGTGAGCTGGCGCTTTAAACTTGTTTCTAATGTTCATAAATTTGCAGTATTCTAAATTAAACACGCCCAAAGTATTTCCAATTCAGGTTCTTCCCCACAACCTTTCCTTTACACCCTTCCTTCCTGATATTTGATATTAATCTTAACATGTTTATATGGCTTGTTTTTGCATGTCATTTCAATTTTTCCTACATTTTTCCTACGCAGATTTCAAACACAAATTCTTGCATAGGCAGTTAGTGAACAAGGCATTATTTTTTAGGGTGTATTACTGAAGCTGGTTTTGGGATTAGATACTAATAACTTGTAAATAGTTTTTAGTTTAAAATTTGTAGTTTACGATCTTGACAACTTTATATGCTCTGTTGTGAAAAAAATATCTTATTTCTTTCCACTCAGCTTTTGTGATCTTCATGCTGTATTTGCAGTCCAAACATATGGAATCCCAGAGTAAGCAATTAATTTCTCCTCTATTATTCCTCTAAAGATCATCTTGGAAAATGACTAATGATTGAAACTATTAATCTGCTTTCTTCACAGGCTTGATCAGCTCTTGCCTCTCTATATGTTGTTGTCCCAATCCATCATTTCACTCATCATACTGTGCATCAGCTTCTACGGATATACCTCCATCTATCGAGACATGCTTCAGAAGAAATGTGTGTGAATGATTAGTTAGTAGATTGTGTATAGTGTACATATGCGTGCGCCTTGTTCATTATTCATTGAATTTTCTGTTTAAATTATACTTAACCATTCAGTTCAGTGGGACAATTTACATTCAAATTAATTCATGAATGATATACACATCTTATGTTTTATAAATAACGCCCATTGTCAGTTTTCAAATCACATATATAGATACTGTCACTTTACTATCAATGAGCCGCCTTTAACAGAATCAGAACTCATTTTCTAAAGCTATATGAAACCATATAATTACATATGTAAATTGTTGCATTCGAAAATGGATTTAGAAACTAATACAGCTTGTTTTATAAAAAAAACGAGAAAGTGTAGGCTACTCTTTTTTTCCCCCCAAATGAAATGTAGTCACAAGCTCTGTTGTTAGAGATAATATTGTTATTTTATGAATTGCTTTATGTACAGATTCAAAATATGTAATAGTTAACTATTTTAATTGCATAATTATTTATAACATTATATATAGGCAACATTCCACAAAACAAAATAATTTACACAAAATATCTTGTTAAAAAGCTGACATATGCTTGGTTTTAATATTGTATGGGTGTGTAACGATGCTTTAATGTAATGATGAGGTGTCCATGTGTAGAGGCTGTTTTGCTCTAGAAAAGCATTAGAGTGGCAGTAATGCACCGCACCATCAGGCAGGCACGCGCGTTCAGTTCAGTTCTCCTCTCCTCATCAGACACACAAAACGGGGGAGGCTTCTCTTATCTCGGGTGACAAAACGTCTTCCTTTTATCTGACGTTCGTCTGCTTTCATTTCCGTTCCCTGTAAATATCACTTCGTCGTCTGAATGGCTGTCTCCGCGCAAATTCTTATCTTTCTATTGTGTGCCGTTCATTTTTGTCTCCGCTGGTCATGAAGCTAAATGGCAGTTAGCCTAGCAGCATCGCTACTCCCTGTAGCTGGACTAACAAAAGTGGCCTAAAAATTCAGTCAATGAAAACCCCCTTCAGGATCAGCTCTTGGATGTCTCTAAACTGTTATAAACCAGCAAAGGTCAAGAGGACGTAGCAAAGGTGCTCACGAGGGGAAAGAAAAGAAGTCCGTGTGCTGAGAAAGAGTGAAAAGGAAAAACGGAGGACAGCAGCAGCAGTTTGTCGGCAGCTAAAGTGAAAAGAAAAACACCAACATCCCTGTGATGGCAAACGAGCCGGTTATTCTGAACGTCTATGATATGGTAGGTGACTTTAAACAAATACAGATAACTAGCTCCCGTGACAGAGGTGTGAAGTATTGGCATTAGTTCAACACATTCATTGGCTGTGTCTCAAAGCCTTGTGAGCTGCCTACTTAGGTACGTAGTCCGCTTGGCTAGGTTTTTAGCCGTGTCAGCATGCATGCATTTTAAAACTCCATTAGTAAATTTAATGGGAAATATAACGTTTTATAGTCTAAGGAAATGTGTGCGGTAGCTATTTGGAAGCTTATCAGAGAGGATCCAGCTTTTATTTACTTGCATAAACAGTGCTTCAGTTCAACCACGTTCCTGTAGTAACAGATCAAGTTAGTTAGATGTAGAATTTTAAGTATTGAGATGACAGTCTAGCTGAAAGCTTTGACCCAGTTAATTCAACTGTCATTTGAATCCACCTGTGTGATCTGAGGCAGCTGTTGAGGAGTCACGCTAAACATAATGGATGCTTTGCTTTTTAAAATGACTAGCGAACAGCTCAGTTAATCAGTAATACAGCAATATTACAACCCTCCTTTATAGAAGTTTCAATTAATAGCTAATTAATATAATTAATATTAAGAAACTTGAGTGTCGGAAAACTACGGAGCCCGGGAAGTCACCTGTTCTTAAACTGTTCCCTCGTTTAACAAATCGTGCCCACGGATTAATAAACCGTACTCACGAATTTCCTATCCGTGCGCTCAGATTTTGTAAACCGTTCCTTCGGGTTTGTAAACTCATGGATTTGTGGCCCCGCCCCCACCGGCTGATTTCAACCGCGGTGCGGGATGCATAGTATTGTGTTTATTAAACATTATTTTTCATAGTATGAGACCATGATCAGCACTCACAAAACAGTCTTCTTTTTAGCGTTTATTTTATATTAATCTCCAATAGGATAAAACACCTCCGCCTGTGTTTTATAGCCTAAAATAAACGCTAAAAAGAATAGAAAATTTCCTGAATTTTCTCAAAAAATAAAATAAAACGATAGAGTTTCGAGAGAAGAAGGTAAAAAAGCAATACAAAACTAATAATGTACCGGTTATGTTGTCATTCCTTTGCTCTCTAACTGAATGCATATAATAGGCATTGTAGGGATGCACCGATATGAAAATTTTGGCCGATACTGATAATCCTTTATTTTTGAAAGCCGATAACCGATATGTTGGCCGATAAATCTATATCCAAATTTTTATATACTTTTTGAGAGCCTGATTACAAAAAAGGTTTCATCATTAAAAACCACATCCCAAACACTTCAACATAAGCAGCCTAGTTTGAACGGTGTATGTTTTAAAAATATTTTTACTCTCCCATTACCAAATTTAGTCATAAAAAAGTCTTACAAATAAAATAATGCATAAATAATGCAAACAAGTCACTGGACATCATTACACGTGTAAAGAATCTAAATGAATGCGCCATAGATCAATAAAACGGAATAGCCTCTGCACGGACAATAATTAAATGATTTTAATTACTAAACCATATTGTTGATGAAAATAATAAGAGAAAAATACAAGTGGTTGTTGTTATTAATAATGTATCAATGATTTTGAAATATGGTGGCCGATATATCGTGCATCCCTAAATATATGCATGTATATGTTATAATAGGCCTAGTTATTTAATAATAACTTTAACATCTAACTCTGGGGGGAAAAGCTTAGTGTAATAAAATCACCTAAATACGTCTGTGAATAAATAAATGAAATATGTTAAGAATGAATAGTACACAAACACATTTCCAAAACTGTAAAAGGTTATTTAAAAATAAAGCATTCATTAATTATTTTATGACAAACATTTTACTGTCTTAAGTGCACTCATTTATTTAGCATATAAATTAAAAATATAATAACTATTATTATTATTATTATACATTTAAGTTACATATGCATTTAGAAGAAGCTTTTATCCAAAACGACTTACAAAAGAGGAACAAATGACTCCAATGTCAGTCACAAAGCCAGGTTTATTATACAATAATAAAGTGCTAAGATTATCACAAATTAAACAAGATTTTGATGCACATCTTTCTTATTAAATCGTTGTATTCCACCTCGTACCGTTACAATTGATAGAGAATCACCTAAGAGAATTTGCTGTAGGCCTATTCCACATAATAATATGCAATAAAACAATATACAATATGATTCGTTAACACGTAGGCTACCTAGGAGCTTGCTGCATGAATCCGTGAGTACAGTTTACAAACCCGAGGGAACGGATTGCGAAAGCGTGGGCACGGATTATGAATTTGTGGGTACGGATTCAAAAACCGAAGGTATTGTTTACAAAAAATGAGCGCACAGATTGGAAATTCGTGAGTACGGTTTATTAATCCGTGGGCACGATTTGTTAAACCGAAGGAACAGTTTAAGAATTCGTGAGTACGGTTTATAAACTGAGGGGACGGATTGCACAATTTTTTCTCCTACAGGTGACTTGCCGGGCTCCGTAGCTTGACGACAAGCAACGTACAAAATAAAAGCCAAAATGGAATATCGCATATAAGTGGAGCAGAGTGACATGAAGTGCTCCTCCTGGTTCAAAGTGTTCTGTCATGATGCTCATGATGGGTGTCATGGCCTACACCACAACAGCATTTTATGGGCCTAAAAAAACAAACTTTTGAAAACGGGTTTCAAAGGATACATGTACTACAAACTAAATTTTTTTTGTGTGTGTACAGACCACAACGTTGCCTGAACAATCCCTGTTCACATGGATCCTCGAAAACTACTTAAAAAGCTGTATTATGCATGCCAGGCCAGTAGTTGGCAATGTAAAGAAACACTATGTGAAACAAGTATTATGCTTGCATCACCATTTTCACAAATTCACATTTACACTGAGACGGTAACTGTATTGTGCACTTTGAAACCCATTTCCAAAAGTTTGTTTTCAGGCTTCCAAAATGCAGTTGTCGTGTAATTGAGCTTCCAAAACGTATAAAGTTTTTTTTAGTTTCTTTTTCTGTTTTTAGTTGAAAATGGTGTAAATGCCCCAAAGTGCAAGTTTTTGAAAGCAATATTATTACCGTCTCCGTGCAAACTACAAAAATGCAAATTTTGGAAAATGGTGACGTCACATGCACGTGTATTACACGTTCAGTCTATAGGAATGCATATTTGCATAGGCACATAGTGTTTCTTTACAAAGTGACATCGCCAACTACTGGCCTACTGGCCTAAATACAGCGTTTTTAGTCGATTTGGCAGAACTGTCTGAAGGGGGATTGTTTCGACAATATTGTTGTCTGTTTGTCTGTTTTTATTTTTTTTCAAAAAGCTTTTGCATTGTTGTCATGTAAACATACCCTCAGAGAGTGGAAGTTGTGCAACAGTCCATTCCAGAAGTGAAAATCCCATTCATCATCCCATTCATTATAGGCTAAGACATTAAAGACAGACCTGCTCTAAGCTATGAGGTTGTTAATTGATGGTAAATGCTTTTGTTGGGGCCATCAGCCCACATTATTTCAATTTATTTTTAAACAATCATGTTCAACAGCAGAATTTATGTTGGAAAAACTACATTACCCATGATTCCTGCAACCAATTACAGAATTGAAACAAGCCATTTGCACCAGAAGAACCCTTTACCGCCCACCCACTCCCATGAAGCAGTCCATTGAGTCCATTTCCCTACACTCTCAAAGTACTTGAAAATTTGTATGCATAATATATTTAGCAATAAATGTAAATATGCACATCTTTTAAATTAATAGTCTAATATTTTTCCATCATTTTTAATTTGATTATATAATTTACAATTCTTTGGATGTATAGGATTATATCCTATAATATTATTTGGCCTACATAGTGTAAACCACTGTATGTAGCAAGTCACTTTGTGCTGTGGAAGGCCTATTTTTTTTTTTTTACATTAAAGCACATGCATTTTACCCCAAATGTACAAAATGTTGTGGGCTGAAAAAAATACTGGAAAAATTGACCATACCTTTTAAGTGTCATTGATCACTGAGTAACGTGAATAGTCTCCATTTAAAGATTTAGTCGATTGGAAATTCGTGAGTACGGTTTATTAATCCGTGGGCACGATTTGTTAAACCGAAGGAACAGTTTAAGAATTCGTGAGTACGGTTTATAAACTGAGGGGACGGATTGCACAATTTTTTCTCCTACAGGTGACTTGCCGGGCTCCGTAGCTTGACGACAAGCAACGTACAAAATAAAAGCCAAAATGGAATATCGCATATAAGTGGAGCAGAGTGACATGAAGTGCTCCTCCTGGTTCAAAGTGTTCTGTCATGATGCTCATGATGGGTGTCATGGCCTACACCACAACAGCATTTTATGGGCCTAAAAACACAAACTTTTGAAAACGGGTTTCAAAGGATACATGTACTAAAAACTAAATTTTTTTTGTGTGTGTACAGACCACAACGTTACCTGAACAATCCCTGTTCACATGGATCCTCGAAAACTACTTAAAAAGCTGTATTATGCATGCCAGGCCAGTAGTTGGCAATGTAAAGAAACACTATGTGAAACAAGTATTATGCTTGCATCACCGTTTTCACAAATTCACATTTACACTGAGACGGTAACTGTATTGTGCACTTTGAAACCCATTTCCAAAAGTTTGTTTTCAGGCTTCCAAAATGCAGTTGTCGTGTAATTGAGCTTCCAAAACGTATAAAGTTTTTTTTAGTTTCTTTTTCTGTTTTTAGTTGAAAATGGTGTAAATGCCCCAAAGTGCAAGTTTTTGAAAGCAATATTATTACCGTCTCCGTGCAAACTACAAAAATGCAAATTTTGGAAAATGGTGACGTCACATGCACGTGTATTACACGTTCAGTCTATAGGAATGCATATTTGCATAGGCACATAGTGTTTCTTTACAAAGTGACATCGCCAACTACTGGCCTAGCATGCGTAATACAGCGTTTTTAGTCGATTTGGCAGAACTGTCTGAAGGGGGATTGTTTCGACAATATTGTTGTCTGTTTTTTTATTTTTATTTTTTTTCAAAAAGCTTTTGCATTGTTGTCATGTAAACATACCCTCAGAGAGTGGAAGTTGTGCAACAGTCCATTCCAGAAGTGAAAATCCCATTCATCATCCCATTCATTATAGGCTAAGACATTAAAGACAGACCTGCTCTAAGCTATGAGGTTGTTAATTGATGGTAAATGCTTTTGTTGGGGCCATCAGCCCACATTATTTCAATTTATTTTTAAACAATCATGTTCAACAGCAGAATTTATGTTGGAAAAACTACATTACCCATGATTCCTGCAACCAATTACAGAATTGAAACAAGCCATTTGCACCAGAAGAACCCTTTACCGCCCACCCACTCCCATGAAGCAGTCCATTGAGTCCATTTCCCTACACTCTCAAAGTACTTGAAAATTTGTATGCATAATATATTTAGCAATAAATGTAAATATGCACATCTTTTAAATTAATAGTCTAATATTTTTCCATCATTTTTAATTTGATTATATAATTTACAATTCTTTGGATGTATAGGATTATATCCTATAATATTATTTGGCCTACATAGTGTAAACCACTGTATGTAGCAAGTCACTTTGTGCTGTGGAAGGCCTATTTTTTTTTTTTTACATTAAAGCACATGCATTTTACCCCAAATGTACAAAATGTTGTGGGCTGAAAAAAATACTGGAAAAATTGACCATACCTTTTAAGTGTCATTGATCACTGAGTAACGTGAATAGTCTCCATTTAAAGATTTAGTCTGTCTCATGTGTCTCATTGACCCTTTGAAACAGGGTAATGGAAATGTATACTTTCCTTGGGCTTCTAGTCATAGTAGTATGTTGGACTATTTTAATCTTATGCTCTCACATAAAGATTAAGGCTAGAAATTTGAGCTGCTCCAGGATTTAATAGATGTCAATCTTAATTAGGATGGGAATCACATTACAAGTTGTATGCCCTTAGTTAAGCCTATAAACCATGTAGGAGATTTGTAGCTTATAAAGCTGGAAATGGGAAATTTGTCAGTAGTAATCTTTCTGTTTTGACAGATAAATGGCCTGTGATTTCTAAAGCGTAATTTGACATTTTGAGGCTAATTCATTATTTCCACGAATATCACAGGTTTGTGTCATGAACCTAGGTTCCAGCCTGACCATAAGGTATTTTACTGAAATAAAGTCCCCTTACAGCAGTTCCCATAGGAACTTATCAGAGTGAGAACTCCCACATAGTTCATGTCAGAGCTTGTAGATTTTATTTTCTAATCGCAGTTCTTGGCATGAGAGTACTCTTGCTGAAAATCACACGAAGCCAGTTGCTAATCACAGAGAGACTAATCCCCAGTTCTGTGATGAAGGATATGTATAATAAGCTTTGAAGTAATTGAGGCCAGAAGGATAAGTGTCTTATTTGACAACCCTGAACGATGAGGAGTTGGAGAACCGTCAAGCTCAGGGGTGCCCAAACTTGGTCCTGGAGGGCCGATGTCCTGCAGAGTTTAGATCCAACCTCAATTAGACACGCCTGAACCAGCTAATCAAGCTCTTACTAGGCATACTAGAAACTTCCCGGCAGGTGTGTTGAGGCAAGTTGGAGCTAAACTCTGCAGGACACCGGCCCTCCAGGACCGAGTTTGGGCACCCCTGGTCTAGCTGATAAATTTTTCTCATCCCTTTTCACATATTTTTGACCAACTTTTCGTATTTTTAAATTGTTTTAACCAAACAACACTTTACATTGTGCCAATTGATATATTGCAAATGTAGTTAAATTAGTGCAGTAGGTTAATGCCATAAAAGACATCTAGAAACCAGCTTGTCCAGTGATGTATTATTTTCTGATGACACATAATCAATTGGGGACAGCTGTTGGTTACTTCCTTAAACAACAGACCTGCTAATTAAATACGTTGGGTGTGAACACAAAGGTTTGTCAAGGGCTGAGTCACATTCAGGGCTCCAGACTGCTACCATTTTTTTCTGCGAGTAAATTTTGTGCGCGGTTGCACTGGCGCGACCACCGTGTTGTTCAACTCGCGCTGCCATTTCTATCTCATATGAAAAACATCAAAAGGCAAACAAAACAAAAGCGTAACAAAATCCTGCTACTCGCTTGAGCTACGCTGCGCGGAACGTTTATCAGCTCGGACCTCGACGCAAACAAACTAGTCCGAGCTCAGAACAGCTTTACTCGGGAACAAGAACTGACTTCGCGACAGTGTTACAGCACAGCGCTGCGAGATCTAGTGAGAAGCCTTTGAATTAGCCGCAGAATGAATAAAGGTTGCTGCGAGATTTACTGAGAAGCATTCAAATTCTGCACAAAAATCTCTGTTATAAACCAATCAAACAGCGCTGACATAGAAAACCAGAAGCAGTAACGCTAACTGTAACCATGGTGTTGTGGCAGAAATAGTCAAATGTTATTACATTATTCATTTCAGGCTTTTGTACAGCCTTTTGAGACAGAAATTTTCAATCGAAATCAAGCCATTTTCAATGATTTACAAGCATTTCACACAACTGTTTCCAGCACTTTAAAGCTCCTAAATGATCCAATTTGACTGTTATTTTCAATGGGATGACCAAAATATACTGTGGTGAACAAACGCTTATGTAAAATAAAAATAAATACATCAAATCACCATTATACCCTGTAGATGGCAGCAGAGGAGCACTTATTGGCTTATTAGTCATTCATTTATACTTTTTCCTTTATATTTTGAAATGATAAAATAACCATTATAAAATCACTATTATAAAATTTTAAAAGTTTTGTTTTGTTTATGAAGTAAAAAACTTCACTGCGTGCTTTGAAAAACACTTCTTCAATTTGCGGCTAAATCACACATAATCACTGAAGTTGTTGGTCAGTTTCATTATTATAGAAGAATAATGGTACATTTAATAAGAGTACAATATATGTCTTTTCTACATAAAAATTAGGTTTTGCACATGTTACTGTTGTTAATAAAATACATTTTGTACGTTTCCCAACTCAAGCTTAGTGCTTTACTTTCAAATGTGTATAAACATGAAATTAAAAGAATACTGCACATTGTAATCTCTGAGTTAAGTCTAATTGTTATCAAAGCAATTGTCAGTAATACAGTTAAAATGGGGAAAATATGTGAACGATTGCATTGCAGGCTGATTTAAAGTGTGCCCCTAAATTTTCTTCATGTGCTCCTAAAAGTGTTCAGTCAGGGGCTACAGTGCTCCTAGTAATAACAGTAAGTCTGGAGCCCTGACATTGCCTGTCTCTACATATCCATACCCTGCAATGCACGTTAGCTCATTATGAATGTGGCAATCATCTTGGATACTTTATTTCTTTAGTTTAGTAATTGTTCTAACAAATGGTTTTAAGTCATAATGGATTAGTAGTGTAATTGTAAAGATAATTTGCACTTTTACCATTTGACTGTATGTGACCCAGACTTGTTTTGCTTCCTTATAGTACTGGATCAATGAGTTCACTACCTCTCTGGGAATTGGAGTCTTTCACTCAGGAATTGAGATCTATGGCAGAGGTAAGGCTTGCATTATGACTCAGACACTAATGAGTCAAGCTGCTCAGAAATCCAGTGTTTAACTTGCCTGACTGCAACAAAGAAAGAAGGAGGTGTCTAACATGACTAAACCTCACATCGTAGATGATCTGAGGATGCAACAGGAAGAGACCTTGACATTTTAAGCAGTCTCTGCCTCCAAAGGCTTCCAGATTAATCGGATGAAGAGGAGATGTTTTGTTTGGCAGTTTGTGAGAGTTTGCATTGGCCTTCTTGAATGATGTCTGTGTGAACAAAATGACTTAAAAGAGCACACAGCCTTCCAGGATGTTTATAAGTATGGACAAAGTGTTTTCAGTGGATGTTAATTGCACTACCAGCACTAGATACTAATCATCAAAGTTTGCTTTTCACCTTAACCCCAAATAGACAGATTATATAGACCTATAGCATACTAATATAGCATCCTCACTTCAATGTGTAAGTTATAAAAATAAGTTTATTTACAATATCTACACCCATTGTTGAAGTGTGAAACAATAACTAAAACTAGTAAAAACCTTTTCATTAATTGAAATAAAACAAAATATAAATATTAAATAAATAAAAAAATAAAATATTTGTACTGGAAGTACTATAATTCCTAAAATACAACTGAAATCAAAATAAATTAAACTCAATAGAAAAAACAAAAACTAATAAAAATGAACTTATAAATTTTTTTTACATTTACTTAAAATTAAATATATACAAAAATTAAAATTAAATGAAAGCTGAAAATTATACAGATTATAAAAAACAATATAGTATAAATAATAGTATATGAATAATTATAAAATAACATTATTGTTAAGTGCTTGTCAGAGTGTTTTAACACTCCGATTAGGGGTGAGCGATAAGTAAAAATAATGTATATCACGATTGTTTTTTCTGCGAAGATCACACTCAACAGTCTAATCACAATTCTTCTGAAATAAACTAAAATTTTGTTTAAAGTTTAGGTACAGTAGGATTTTTTAACAGTAGTTATTCGAGTAAGAAACGTTAACTTAAGTCACAACCAACTGTGTATGTGTAAACCTTTTGTGTTTTTGGCATAGCCTTGTGTATTTAAGTTGTGCAAAAGAGAACTCAGTCTAGTACTCATGTGCTGTGACAGCCAGTTTCTGTTAGTGTGGTCTGAAAACCGTATATGTCAGAATAGCGTGTGTGTAAAATCATTTATAATTTTAAACTGACAAGACTTTAAAATTCATGCAAATTATAAAATGTGCTCTTTAGCACATTTGTGTGCTAACAATCTCTGTGTAAAGGCAGATCGTGGAGAATCTTTAATAACCTAACTCATACTTTCTCTTTTATTGCAGAGTTTGCCTATGGAGGACATCCTTATCCTTTTTCAGGTATATTTGAGATAACACCTGGTGACGCCACAGAACTGGGAGAGACATTCAAATTCAAGTGAGTCACAATATTTATCACTATGATAAGTTTATTTACACTATCTACACCCATTGTTGAAGTGTGAAACAATAACTAAAACTAGTAAAAACCTTTTCATTAATTGAAATAAAACAAAATATAAATATTAAATAAATAAAAAAATTAAATATTTGTACTGGAAGTACTATAATTCCTAAAATACAACTGAAATCAAAATAAATTAAACTCAATAGAAAAAACAAAAACTAATAAAAATGAACTTATAAAAAATTTTTACATTTACTTAAAATTAAATATATACAAAACTTAAAATTAAATGAAAGCTGAAAATTATACAGATTATAAAAAACAATATAGTATAAATAATAGTATATGAATAATTATAAAATAACATTATTGTTAAGTGCTTGTCAGAGTGTTTTAACACTCTTTAATTAGGGGTGAGCGATAAGTAAAAAATAATGTATATCACGATTGTTTTTTTCTGCGAAGATCACACTCAACAGTCTAATCACAATTCTTCTGAAATAAACAAAAATTTTGTTTAAAGTTTAGGTACAGTAGGATTTTTTAACAGTAGTTATTCGAGTAAGAAACGTTCACTTAAGTCACAACCAACTGTGTATGTGTAAACCTTTTGTGTTTTTGGCATAGCCTTGTGTATTTGAGTTGTGCAAAAGAGAACTCAGTCTAGTACTCATGTGCTGTGACAGCCAGTTTCTGCTAGTGTGCTCTGAAAACCGTATATGTCAGAATAGCGTGTGTGTAAAATCATTTATAATTTTAAACTGACAAGACTTTAAAATTCATGCAAATTATAAAATGTGCTCTTTAGCACATTTGTGTGCTAACAATCTCTGTGTAAAGGCAGATCGTGGAGAATCTTTAATAACCTAACTCATACTTTCTCTTTTATTGCAGAGTTTGCCTATGGAGGACATCCTTATCCTTTTTCAGGTATATTTGAGATAACACCTGGTGACGCCACAGAACTGGGAGAGACATTCAAATTCAAGTGAGTCACAATATTTATCACTATGCTGATCAGACTGAAAGGATATGTCTGCAAAAACCTCTTCCTCTCTCAGCCTTTTTCTCACACCCTCTTTACTTTCTACTTGCTTTCTCAGAGAGGCCATTGTTTTAGGGAGCACAGACTTTACAGAAGAGGATGTGGAGAGAATTGTGGAGGAAATGGGGAAGGAATATAAGGGGAACGCTTACCACCTCATGCACAAGAACTGCAATCACTTTTCCTCAGCACTATCAGAGGTGAGCTGTGTGTGTATATATATATATATATATATATATATATATTCATCTTTTAGGTCCACGTTGCTGTAAAGAGTCTAAAATCTCACGCTATCTCCTATGTCTGCGGCAGATCCTCTGTGGTCGAGAGATCCCACGCTGGGTGAACCGACTGGCCTACTTCAGCTCTTGTGTGCCCTTCCTTCAGAGCTGCCTGCCAAAGGAGTGGTTGACACCGGCCGCACTGCAGTCCAGTGTTAGTCAGGAGCTCCAGGGAGAGCTGGAGGAGGCCGAGGATGCTGCGGCCTCTGCCTCGACGCCGTCCTGCGCCGTGGCACCCGCTCCCAGACCTACCCGACACCAACCACGCCGATGAACCCTGCTGCCTTGAGTGACAGGCCACCCCTGCTTTGAGCTGGACCACAGCTTCTGCTGCCAATAGACCCCTCACCCCCTCTCCTGAGAGACTAGCAATTCACCAGCGGACTAGATGAAACCCACCGTCTGTGTTCCCTGATTTATTTCAGTACGCTCAAGTGACCGTTACGGGCCTGGAAACTATCGATCTTGTTTACTGTAAAACCTTCTATGGGTTCGTCAGTGTTTTGGCTTAATTACGTTTTGGCCTTTTATGTTTTGTTTTAAAAACTCAGGACTTGTATACAATGGCTTTGTTTAGTCACCGTTTTCTTTCTTTCTTTTTTTCTAGTTTTTAATGCTTTTCTTACGCTGGAGTTGCGCACTAGCCTTTTTCCCCTTATTTCTACAGAAAGCGCCTAGTCAGTGAATATGAGACATTTTTTATGGAGAACATTTGTTTACAGATTTCTTGCGTTCCAATCCGTGTATGATTGTGTTGTTGTGTGTGGGTTACAAAAGCCAAATCTCCACACTTTTGTAATGACACACATCCCACACTTTGGTGACTGTGCCTGAAGATTTTTACCGTTACGTGCTCGGAGAGCTCTGCACTCTTTCTCTACAGATCTCTAACTGTTCGGTCTGCTTTGAGTGGCAGGCTTCTTGTCCTATGAGACCTTCCTCAGATGTTTTACACCTTTTTAGTTTTTAGAGTCTTATATGTACTTGAGACAACATTTGTATTCCATTTTATGATTAAAGAAAATATACAAGTCTGTTCTCAAACAAAGTTATCCGTTAATTCTGACAACTCAATGGAAACATACAAGCATAATTCATTATTTGCTCACTCTTGTCATTTCGAATCCATTTGTGTTTCTTTCTTTTATCAAACAAAAATACAGATGTTTAGCAGAATGTTTGAGCTGCTCTTCTCCATATAATGAAAGTGAAAAGTTACTAGTCTCCAAAAATGACAAGTGCCATGAAAGTAGTCCATACAACTTGTGCACTATATTCTAAGTCGTCTGAATAATGTATGAAAGCTTTGTGTGAGAAATGGACTGAAATTTAAGTTATTGAATAATTGAAAATCTCGCTTGAGAGCCATGTTCACCATTCACTATCATTATGTGGAATAGAGCAGCTTGGCTGTTCTACTGAACATCTTTTGTCTTCCATGGAGCAATTGAAATCTTGTGGATTTCACAAAATATGAGGGTGAGAGAATGACAAAAATCATTTCTGGTTGAACTATCTTTTAAATCTCTAAACGGGTTATGTTAAAGTTTACTACATTACAGTAATTAATATTTTACACATTACAGCTAAAGGATATACCACACATATTTATCATATATAACATCTATTTCATATGCCACTTGGTTTCAATTCAAAACCTGTTGGGAAGTGTTATAAACATCCATTAAGTTTTATAATGTATTATGAGTATTATAATGGTAAATTTTTACTCCATTCTAGCTGTTTGCTTTGTCCTCTTGCTGATTTTTAATGGCTAAAGTTTGACAATGGTCATTGTGGCATTGAAAAATATTAGTCATTCAAAAATGAAAATGCTGTCATTCACTCACCCTCATGTCTTTTGAAATCCACATGATTTCCATTGCTCCATGGAAGACAAAAGGAGATATTTAGTAGAACAGCCAAGCTGCTCTTTTCCATGCAATGAAAATGAAAGGTGACCACGGTTGTCAAGGAAGATTTCTAGTCAAGATTTTGAATTATTAATTGACTTAAACATCTGTCCGTTCCCCACACAAAGCTATCATATATCTTCAGGCAACTTAAGTTTTATGGACTACTTTCAAGGCACTTGAAAGTCTCTGTCAATGAAACACTGCTTACATTTATATTTTATTCTGTGATAATTGTAGGGTGGCACAGCTTTTTCTTAGGGTGGCAGACAGTTGCCACCCCGGTTAATATTTATGCAATAATTATTATGAATTTCTGCCCATTGAAAATAACTTTTTAAAAATATATATTTTTATATTACTTTTAAATGAATGCAGTATTTCATGTTAAAATAGTCAATGCCTTTAAAATCCAATTTTTGAAGCCAGATTAGTGCCATCTGGTGGAAGTAAAATAAGAAAAACATCTGCAGTTCCATGGTTTACTTTAGCCCATAGATTCCTATATAGCTCTATATAAAAGGCCTATACATGAAATAAATCGTTTTTAGACATAAATACTTATTTTTATTAAGTTGTGGGTTTGGATATATATTTAGACATTCTCAAAGACAACTTTTTGTAAAGGTTTAGATTTTGTTTTTGATTTGAAATGTTGATTTGAAGCGTCAGTTTTTGAATTATTATTACAACAGTAAAACCTGAACACAGAGAAAGCCTTTTGTTACACAAAACATTACAATTCTATAAAAATGTAACAAAAAATGAACAAATGTTTTATCAGAGCTTAATCCTTCTGGGTTTGATCTGATTTCAACCGCTTATTTCAGTTTTCTGACTCGTTTTGGCTATATGGTTATAGCCATACCAATTCATTTGAGTGTGTATAACTGAGTGTGTCTGTTTTGCACTCTTGATGTTTTAGAGTGTAACCCCTTCCTTGTTGTGCACTTTTTTACTGCATTATAGTTGAATTATTGCTTTTATTTTACATATTTGCTGTGTTACAGTCACACCAGTTCATAGGTGTGTGTGTGAGTAGATGTGTTGGTTTTGCATGTTTTAGAGTTTCACACCGTCATTGCTGTGTACTTTTTTTCTGCATTGTGTGAGATTTGTAGATTGTACACACAAAATTTAATTTTGTGTTTTTGTCGATTTCCCATTAATTTCCTATGGTTGGTCTTTTTTGACTGAAGACCACAAGTGTGACTATTTTTTTTTACGACCACTTGCTCGAATCATCCCCTCAAATTTGTTTTGTGTGTTTACATTTAAAATGCCATAAAAGTCACCAAGTTTCATACCATTCCGTTGAAGCTGTGATTTAAAAAAAATCAGAACAAAAAGTCAAAAGTGACCGAAGAGCACCAGAGGGTTTTAAACAAAACAACAAACAAACAAAAATCTTCTCAAAATGTCTTTTGTGTTACACAAAAAAAGAAATCAAATGATGCATGTTTGGTGAGGGATGAGTGAACAATGACAGAATTTTGAATTAAGACATTTTTGGGTGAACTATTACAAAGCTGTAAAATGCTAACAATCAAAATAACTCTTATTAGTTCAATTTAAATTTTCTCAGAGCTGAGTTAAGATCCCAGACACTGTTTCCACAGTGTCTGTTTCCTCCTGTGTGTTTGTCCTTGCACAGCAGGAAAAGGCCTTCAAAATGTCACCCATTCCATTTGTAAAAAAGAGAGGAATGGGTCCACTAGTGGGCCAAGATAGAGAAGAAGACCAGATACAAGTCAAGTACACTCTTAAAAATAAAGGTCCTTCACGATGCCATAGAAGAACCTTTTTGTCTAAATGGTTCCATAAAGAACCTTTAACATCTGAAGAACCTTTCTGTTTCACAAAAGGTTCTTTGTGGCGAAATAATGTTCTTCAGATTATAAAAAGGTAAGAAAGAGATGGTTATTTAAAGAACCTTTGACTGAATGGTTCTTTGTGGAACCAAAAATGGTTCTTCTATGGCATCGCTGTGAAGAACCTTTTGAAGCACCTTTATTTTTAAGAGTGTAAAATACATAAGAGCTTAAAGTCAGTGCTTTGAGCAGAGTATTTAGGATAAAGTGAAGATAAAGCATACTGTAATTACACAAGATGACTGCCTGTATACCCAGAATCTTGTTTCTGTTAGTCACAGGTGCTGGCCATCTTGTACACCATAAGGCTCTAAAAGAATCCAAAAAGAAAAACCCCAGGAATGGTAGTGGGAGAAGAAGAGCTATGGAGAATAAGACGACATATCCTTGGTAAGGAAAAGTATTGCAAATGGAGCTGCCCACATGGCCAATGAAATCATGCTCAACTGCTTGAGTTTCATGCAGAAGGCATTATATTGTGGACAGGTTACCAACAGATATCGCTCCTGAGCAACACAGACCATGAACACGATGAATATCAGGGAGGATATGTCTGTACTCGGCATACTGGTTTTATGAGCGTCCTCCGCAGATGCTTTCGGCCGCCCAAGGATGTTGAAGATATCGGATGCGAGAAGGCTTATTAGGAAGACGGGAGCAACCTTGCCAGTTTTTGCTTGCATGCCCATGAGGTAGATAGAAAAGCAGATGCCAGGAAGCCCAACAGCAAATGTGATCCATCTGATGATCTCTTCAATGTGGTCTACACTGATGGTGCCATTGTTCTGAGGAGCCGTGTTATTATCATCCAATACTGTGGTTTTATCCATATGTTGCAGAATCATACTGGTAGTTTCTAGTTCTGGTTACCCAAAATGTGATTAATATATAAAAGCTGATGCATTTGGTTATATGCCATGTCAAGAAGAATATGTTCTTCAGTTCCAGTAAGCAACGCGGAAAGCTATATGTGACTCTTTACTGTGGTAAATAGATTGGTATATTTCAGCTATAACCATTTTTATGGCTCTTATGCAAACTGTTCCTGTAAGCGCTTTCATTGCTGGTTGGTCAATGCAAATATTTCCTATGTATTCACATTAGTTTTATCAATGCAATCTCTTTCTAGAAGCAGTTTGGCCCAATGAGGAGTGTAAAGTTACACATGAAAAATAAATATATTAAAATATTTTAATTAAAATATTGACATTCAAACAATGTGAGATTTTCTGACATAATTTATTTCATTGACTCACATTATATAAGATGCCAACACATTCAACAAAACTGTAAGCAACAGTATGCATTTTATACAGTTTAATAACAGGTTAATAACTTAGACAATAGTAACAAAGCAAACCATTGCTAAATTAAGACCACTTGAATACTGACGATCTCTTGAAGCAAATATTCAACAGTTAATAAATATTGTTAAATGATGTCTTCTCTATTTTTGCCCACAGCAGCATTCACCTGATGTCATCCCGTCCTTGCTTGGCACTAAATCTGATCATTCATTCAAATTTGTATTGTATTTTCTTTACAAAAGCACATTGGCATGGCACATTCAAGCATCACAGTCAAGCACACAGAGCTTTTAAATCTTTGACTGTTATTATATATTTGAAAAGTGAATGAGAGCATATTATCTTTCCTGTCTGATACTTGAGTAACTGTTATGAGTATATGAAGAGGGCTGTGCCAAGGAATCACTGATAAAGTAGAATCTGATCTGTTTTAAAGAGAAAAACAAAGCGGTCCTACATTGAATCATTTAACGTGTGCTTGTTTACAGTACACAAATAGAGCCCTAAAATTGGGTTTTTGTTTACCTTTGGCCTCCTGATTCAGAATGTTCTGTGAACACTGCATGTATAAAATGACCAATCTTAGGTTTGAAACACTTGAA